ACCAACCTCTTCCCGGGAACAAGCGGTTGGGTGGGAGCTGCAAAGCCAAGCTGAAGCCCAGCCTGCTGCACCCACCAGTGGGTCTAAGCTGTGCTCAGTGCCCAGAGCTCTCCCAGAAATGAAGCTGTTCCCGAGGGCGCCCAGGCCAGGTGAGTTCACTTCACCCCAACACAGACACACAGTCTCTCCCCTCCCTCGCCTTCCACCCCACCCCCACCCAGCACCCTCCAAAGCACATCAAGCTGAGTCGAGCTGCCAGAGTGCTGTCTCTGTCCTCCCCTGGTCACCTCACCCTGCTGGCCCCAGGGCCCCACTTCTTTCTGCCCTGTCCCTGGCTCCCAGCCCCCTGCGGCCCTGGGCAGCCAGGCCCAGCCAAGACCAGGCTGTTTTGGAAAAGCGCTGGGAGGTGGCAGAATGTGCGGTCTCCGAGTTCCCTCCAAACTGGCGCCCCAATCCCTGGACAAACAGTGTCCGTGTTTGCCTGTCCACAGCGGCTTGTGTTCGCCTTCCAGGTCAGGAGATCCCAGGGGCTGGCAGCTGGCTGTAAAGAGGGGGGCATGCAGGCAGGCGGACGTCATTGACCCACCCGGCCCACGGGGGAATAGCAGGGCCAGACGGGCGATGACAGGGCCAGCCACTGACCTGCCATCCCACAGCAGGGTGGTCAGGCCAAGGGCAACCCAGGGCCATGCTTCCTTCACCTCCGCAGCCACACAGAACGTCCCACCAGGAGAGAGGGAATTTACACTCTGAGAGCCCACTACCTCCCCTGGCAGCCTTCCCCAGCCCTCTGGCCTCTCATGGCTGCTTCCCGCGGGGGCTGAGGCTTGTGGGAGAGTGCCCCTGGCCCCGTGGTATGGGAGGAATACTGCCCTCCCTCCAGTTTTGTGTGGCCTTAGGTTGTCGTGGTTGCTCCAAGACTTCTTTCATGGAAAATGGGGGAATTCCCCTTTTGTCCCCTACCCTGGGAAGGGGGGAGGGCTGGGGGGTTCAGTGATGATGGGCAAGGTGGAGTGGGAAGCTGGCGGAAAAGTAGGCTGTGGGGCAGCTAAACCTCCTGCCTGGTGGCATTGCCAGATGTCTGGGTGGCCAGGCTCTTTGACCCAGGTGGGGCGAGGCCCTGCATCCTGGGGTGTGCCTGGGCCAGGGTGCTCCCAGCTGAGATTGGGACTGACTAACTGTATTGAAAAGAAACGTTGCAGTTACAAAAAGCTTTTCTCAAAGTGGCTCAGGGGTGGGCCCTTCTCACCCCAGGCTGTGGGGAGAGGCCAGGGCGTGGCAGGGGCTAGAACCTGCCCGGACATCTGTGGTCCTTCTTGTTTCCTAATGTGCACAGTGGGGGCCTGGGCTCTGTCTCCTGTATCCCCACCATCACCACCCAAAGTCCAGGATCCTTAGAACACTGGTGGGCACTGTGTACCTCAGCACTAAGGGCTGTGTCCTTTGGTGGCCCTTACCTTGGGCCCTGTGACGTGGCATGGAGGTGCTTTTCACAAAGTGCAATAAAAATGACAAATAGGCTTGTAGAATTCTACAACCTATGTCCCCTGAACGTGTTCTGCCCGTTAGAGAGCCTCAAAGCTCAGAGAGGTCCTGCAATACAAGAGCCTGCCTATCTTCTTTAGCCCATTTCCCAGGTATTTGATCATGGGATCTATTTGATCCTGCAACAATCATAACACAGGCTTTCTGAAGTGCTGATATGGAGCCCAAAGCTCAAGTCTGGAGAATGGAATCCTGTTCCTCTGTTTGCCACATGGCTATGGACATCAGTGTCCTTGCTCAAACAAGATGAACTCCAAGGACAGGTCCACAGAGCCATGTCCAGCCCAGAGACACCTGGCCGTTCTAGGTCAGGAGAATGACCTCCTAGCTTTGCCATCCCCTCCCCAAAAAAACAACCAGAGACATCTTTTCCTCTCTAGGGGAACCTACTTCTCCCAAGACCCTGCCACAGACTTCTGTGCCCTACACGCAAGGAACAGGGGGCTGGCCTCCCAGAACAGAGGATCTAGAGAGGAACTTCCTGCCTAGTTGGACTGGGAGGCCCATTTCAGTGAGGCTAGAAGTCAGAGACCAGAGGCAAAGGAGACAAGGGTGAGTCCCCACGGTTTATTATGGAAGCCTATAAAAGAGCCACATTGAGTATTTCCAAAATCACAAAATGCACAACATTCATTTTTTTAATATGCTACATGGAATATTATATACAGATTAAAACCACATGACGGCAAAACATGCACACGGCACCAGTTCCATATCCAAACAACACACACAAGTGCTTTCTCAATATTAAAACAATTGTGATAAAAACATATTAATATTTTGAACCATGTTTACAATAGAGAAAAATTCATATTTTACTAAATAACAAATATTTAACAGCAAAAACTTTATACTAAATATCTATTTTGAATTATAACAAAAATAGTACTTATAATAGTTTATAAAGACAGACACAAAATTATAACATTTACGAAAAAAAAAAAGTTTTGTGTATAAAATAATATTATAGCGATCTGGGCAGGGTCAGGATGGTGCCCAGAACACAAACGCCAGCGCCCAACATCGAAAGTGCTTCAATCTGCAAGCCTGTGGCAAGGAGAGTTTTGTGGGGTTTTGTCTTTTTAATGTCAAGTTACAATAGTTAGGAATGGTAAGTGAGAAAACATCACCCATCTAATGCTACCTCAATAAAACACACATACATACACAGGGGCACGGACACCCGGACACAGAGCTACAGAGGAGAGACGGAGACGTGGTGACAGGGGGCAACCTGTCCTGTGGGCCAGTCAAGAGCTTTCCTCCCTCCTCTGCCTGTTCCTTTGAGACCCAGTGGGGCAAACGATCCTTCCTTGCTTGCTTCCTCCCAGGGATCCCCCTCAGCATTTCCTTCTCCACCTCCTCCCAGGCTGGCCCCCCAAGGGAAGGCCACTGAGGCCTTCCAGAACCCTGCAGCCCCCTGCCCCTCGCCAGGGCCGGACTTGCACACTCCCAGACATTCAGTCTGAAACCATCGGTTCAGGGCGAGTGGGATCAACTGGAAGGAAACTGAACCTTCCAGACAGTGGTCTCTTTTGTGGATAACAGATTCTGATGCACCATCAGAGAGCTCTTCTGCAAGCTCTGGTGAGTCTTTACACATTTTGGCCTGTTTTTTTTTTTTTAGAATTGGAAGAGGGGACTGAGGGATTTTGCTAAAAAAAAATCTCACCATCTCTGCCACTATGTCTGTCCCACACTGATTTTTTAGTAGTGAAAAAAAAAAAAAAAAACATGAAACATTTGGGAATCGGCAATTATAGGACATTCTGTGTGGTGTGACCCCAACCCTGATCAGGATCCCTTTGGGGAGATGTGAGTGGGGTATTTCGTGGGTCTGCCCACTAGACACCAAGAGCCACTGTCACTGAGCTGCTCAGCCTGGCAGTTGGGGGATCCTCATGTGCTACTTTCTTTTGGGTTGTTTTGTTTTTGTTTTGTTTTTTGCACTAAAGAGGATTCATTGCTTTTATAACATCAAAAAGCAAAAGGAAAACACAGAAAGCAATGAAAATTCTGAAAACAGACAAATGTGCTTAGAGACTCACCAAAGGCCCTCAAAACCACTCCCAGGAGGCATCCCAATTGCCAATGCTCAAAACACCAGTGGCGGGAGCGACTCCTCCTCTATCCGGTCATCCCGACTGGCCCATCCACAACCAAATCCCTTCTGACAAATGGCACTTACCCTCCTCCTCAGCTCTGCTCAGCCTCCCCCCTGGGCCTCCAGGCCCCTCAAGAGCCTGAATCAGCTCTGGGGAAGTTTCTCCTCCTCCCCTCTTGCTTTTGCCTCCTCCTCCTCCCCACACCCCTGAGCTGGGCTTAAGCAGACAGTGGCTTGGCATAGAGGTGGAAGGGACTTCAAGGTCACCTTCCCAAGGGCTAAGGTCAAAGGGTAAGGGTTAAGGAAAGGAAGACGGAGGCCTCAAGCTCCGTCAGAAGAACCCGTATCCTGCCCCATACTCATTAGTGGAGTTGGGGGGCACTGGGGTGAACAGTGGCCAAGTAAGAGATTGTGGTAGCCTCCAAATCTACACGATCAGAACTTTTGACAGGACAGGAGGCGGCAATGGGCTAGTTCCCCATCTCTACCAGGTGACAACAGGCAGACACTGGATTTTAGCCGAGAGTGAGGCTCTGAAGTTAATTTGGAGCACAGAAGGCTGTTCAGCTCTTGGCTGGGGGAAAGGGTAGAGGAGCTGGGTTTGACTAAAGACCCCTTCCTCTTCATTCACAGAAGTCCTGAGGAGGACAGATGGCATGGAGGCTAGGTGGAGAAGATATTTGCTCCAGATATCAGTATGACCAAGATCAGTGAATAAATACAGACTCTGGAGGAGGGCAGGTATGAGCAAGGGATAAGCCCAGGGCCTCCGTTTGGTATGTAGAGCAGGGAGTGCCTGGCTCAGTGGGGTCCCGCCTGGGAGAAGGGTAGGGATGTCAGTGCACCTGCCCAGGGGCACCAGGGAGAATGCTGGGGATCAGGCCTGGGGCTCCTGTGCCCCAAGGCGAGAAGAGAACTAGTAGCAGCAATAGGTAATTTCAAATGTCCAAACTGGCAGGGCTGGGTAGGAGGTGCCCTCTAGGCTGGTGGCAACCCCTCCCAGCTCAGGTGCACTTGTTTTGGATTACCCAGGATGCTGTTCTTCGCCAGCCACAGCAGGAGGAGCACTGTCTGAGCAGTGGAGTGGGGTGCTGAAGAGAGGACAGGGCGGGGGCCTTTTTTCCTCCCTCCCCCAGCACAACCACCTGGCCGCCAACTAAAAGACAAAGGAGGGAACCAGTTCAGGTCACAGGTACACTGCAGCACAGCCAACTGACACTTAACACTGTAACGGGCATGCAGAGCCCAGCCAGGCCCTTTCCCAAGAGCTAAGCTGGTGGGAAGTGGGGGGACTCTGGAGAGAGCAGGAGCCAGGAGGGGAGCCGGGTCCTCTGAAAGAACGGGACCCTTTTGGCTTTCGGTAGGGTTTTCCAAGGAGAGGTGCCTGGGGGAGGACAAGTATGGGGGCCACTGGCCCTCCCAGGTTCCAGCCCCCTCCTACACACAGGTTTCTACTTCTGTCACCCCACCCCCTCTGCTGAGTTGGGTGGAGGTGCGCATGGGCCTGAGCTCTGCTAGACGGTGGCACTCAGCATAGCCTCCGTCTCGGGCAGAATCTTGTTCTGGTTGGAGTCCAGGCCAAAGAACTTGACACTGAGGCCATCCACGGGGTGCAGGACAGGGACTAAGGTGATGCGGGGGAAGGTCCGGGTGGCCAGCTCAAAGCGGCTGGTGCTGGCCAGCTCCACCGCCAGCACCTTCAGGAACAGCTTGGCCAGGTGCTTGCCCAGGCAGGTCCGGACCCCGCCACCAAATGGGAGGTAATGGAAGCGGCCATCCTTGTCCTCACTTCGCGCCTGACTGAAGCGGTCGGGGTCAAACACGTTCACGTCTTTGAACACAGGTGCCGTGTCATGGGTATCCCGGATGCTGTACATAACACTCCAGCCTTTGGGAATCTGGAAGCCCTAGAGCAAGATGGGGTCGGGGAGAGGGGTGTGAGCACCGGAGGAGGCCGAGGGAGGGCCCAGGAGTGCCCAGCTGCCTTTCCCCATCCCAGGTGCTCAAGACCTGCCTCTTCCTAGAGAAATCTCCCCCACCCCCGGGGCTCCCCAGGACTGGCCCGCTCAGCATGCGGGTCTACTCCCCTGTGTGTACACGCCACAGGCGGTTCCATGACACCAGGTTGGCTTCTCCCCACTCTGCATTTGGGGCTGTGTCTCTCCCCTGCCTGAAAGCTCCCTGAAATCAATCACTGTCTCCCCATCAGACTGAGGTACAGAGGGGTCCATTCTTATGAGTCAGCTTGAATCCCAGCCATCACCCCGGGCCCAGCCTCACATCTAGCTCGAAGGTCTGGAGCACGGTGCGGTAGCCGCCAGAAATGGGCGTGAACAGACGCATGACCTCCTTGATGACACAGTCCAGGTAGCGCAGCCCGCTGAGCGTGTCCAGGCGCAGGGTGCCCTCACAGAGGCAGCCGCCACTGTGCAGGATGCCCTGGGCCCGCAGCTCCTCCCGCAGCTTCTCCAGGACGGCAGGGTGCTTCAGCAGCTGCATGATAAGTGAGGTACTGGCACTGGCCGTGGTGGCATAGGCCGCGAAGATCAGCTCCAGGGTCCCATCCTGCAGCAGCAGAGAGGAAAGGTGCTGTTGGCCATCTGGGACCAGCCAAGCAGGGCAGCCCCATTGTGCCAGGGTCCCCAGTACACAGGGTCATCTGCACTGGGCCCTGCACTGCTGCCCTGAGCCTCATATGCTGGAAACTTAGGACTGCCGTGGACACAGGGGTCACAGCTAGTTCTTGGCTGGGCAGGAGACACCCGGCTGCCACCCAGGGCAGAAACACTAGCCAGTTGAATCCTTAGGTTAGGGCCACTTTCCACTCACTGCTGGATTCCTGGGCCAGTAGCAACAGGCCTAGTCAGTGCTATGAGCTCACAGAAGAAGAGCCGGGCACCATGCACATGGCAGATAATGGGGTCCAAGCCCTGGCCTTCCTATTCCTGGCTCTGGCTCCTTCCTTCATCCCTGGAAGTGGGACACCTGTTAGTGGCCAGAAGGGCAGACAGGGTCTGGAGGCTGCCTGGGACCATATCCTTGAAGACCTGGAAGAGGACTACAGTAGGAAGACTGAGGGGAGGTGGCCCCAGAGCGGCTTCAGGGCCATGGGGCTCCACAGAAAAGTCCCCACAGGCCACTTCATTCTGAAGCCTGCATTTACAAATCTGGATGCTGGGCCCAGAGGGGTGGTGAAGGGGCCTGGGTCCTTTACTTGCCATGGCATGAAAACTTGTGAAATGGGAAAGTGATTGTGACCTCTTCCTTCCTCCTAAGGAAAAAGCTGGGGCAAGAACAGGGGATGAAAGAGCATGGGGAAGGGTGTCTGTGGCATGTGGCAAGTGAGCAGGTGAGCAGAGTCTGGGGACATTCCTCAGGTGGAACACCCCAGACAGTGCAGGGAAGCTGTGCACGGGGTCCAGAGTGAGCAGTTCAGGTGACTGCAGGCCAGCGAGGCTTAGGCAGGTGTAAAGGAAGAGAGCTCAAAGGGTCACTCACTGGAGAAGTCTTGGGGGTTGGAGGAGAGCCCAAGTAAGAACCAAATCTCCCCCAAGGCTGATGCTGGCCTCAAGCAAGTGGTTTCCTCTCTAGACCTGTGTTTCCTTTGGTGGCCATGAAATGAACTGAGATAATGAACTTGGTGCGGGGGAGGTTCTGTGGGGATAAGGTGTCATCCACAACCCACTGCCTAAGCACCAATTTCCAGCATCCTCTTAAAAAATGGTAGATGTGACTATGGGTACATCGGAGGTGTGCACAGCCCTGAGCCCTCTGCTGCTGTGGGCAGACAGGGTGGCCCCACTGTATCCTTCACAGCCAGGTGGGCAAGGACACAGCTCGGCTTCTTGTCCAGCACCTTCCAGCCCAGGTGCAACGGCAGCCACAGCTGCTCAGAACACATGTGCAGAGCCAGACCAGAACAGGAGGAAATGGCCAGGCGCCTTTCTACCCATTGCAGGGGAGGCCCCAGAACAGAGGACGGGCTGCAGGAGTCGCCCCACCCCACCTTCAGCTCCTGCATGGTCATCTCCTTCCCGTGCTCCTTGCTGCTCTCGATGAGGATGTCCAGGGCATCCGAGTAGTCCTTGCCCTGGGTGCACTGAAGCTTCTCCCTGATGGCCTTTTCCAGCCCCTTCTGTAGGATCTGCCGAGCCTGAATGCCCTGAGGGGGAAAGGGCCAGTCAGCCACAAGAAGGGCAGGGCCTCAGGACTGCCAGGGGAGGCTCCAGCCCACCCTCCCACTGACACCTCTCCCCTGAGTCTGGTGCCCCGTGCCCATCTCACAGTCACAGTGGTCCGTTTTCAAGGGTGGCCTTCCAGGCCCTGGGTGCTTACCCGCCGGTAGCCACTGAAGGGCAAGTCAACAGGCAGGGAGAAGACATTCTCTACAAATTGCTGGTAGACCTCAAAGAGGTGCCCAAGGTCCTCCTCAGGGATGCTGAAGCCCAGCAGCACCCGGATGGCCATGCGGAAGGTGAGCTTCTGCGCCTCCTGGTACACATTGATGGCCTCAGGCTGGCTGCTCCAGGCACGCAGCGTGTCCTGAATCACCAGCTGGATCTTGGGCAGGTAGCTCTCCAGGGCCTCATGGCTGAAGATCTTGGAGAAGATCTGGAGGGCAGAGAGGCAGGCAGTGAGCTTGGCCCCTAAGCTGACCAGCTTTCACTCTGCTAAGTGGAGGCACAGATCCCATGACCACAACCAGGGAACACCCCGTCCTCTCTCCCTCCTGCTGAGGCCCCAGGGGCCTCCAGACACAGGGCCCTTGTGGGGTCCCCCAATGTGAACCTCATTCTACTTCCCTTGACTGGGGGAGGGACAGGCAGGGGAGGACAAAATGAACACACAATTCATAAGCATTTTTACTCAAAGCCAGAAACTTCCACATAACTCGCAGGGTGACCTGGCTATCATCTCTTTCCTCAGCCCCCAGAAAAATACATGCTCCACACAATGGCAAAGCCTCGGGGACTTTGCAGTCCAGCTGCCAAAAAGTCTGGGGGCATGTGGCTGTTCCAGCCTTGGTGGGGCAAGCGGAGCTAGATCAGGGAGGCTGTCTTCCATTGCAGGGGCCCATTCCCCAATTCCCAGAATTGAGTCACGAGTGAGTACCTGGACAGGGAAGAGGTAGGAGAGCAATCAACAGCTCTCCTACTCCCCTGATGGAAGGGCAAGTGGACCATAATTCTAGTATAAGCAGAACTTCCTGGGAACCAAAATTATTCCCACTTCCCATGCAACAACCACTGGGCAGGAATTCTAGGGTCTTTATTAATAGTTGTGCCATTAAAATGTCTTCGGTATGGCTGGGTCCAGAGGCAGAAATGAGGACAATGGCTTTCCACCCCAAAAGATCATAAAGACAAGCAGAAGCCCTTTTAATTCCCTGCACCTTCCAGGACCATCTTAAGTAGTCAAGGAGTCCCTGTTTCCACCCCCCTTGCCTTGAAGCCTCGTGATTGGCTCAGCAGCCCCCACACATACACTCACAGTTGCCCCAGGTATGCAGGAGAGGGAGGGTGTTAGTTTATTTACTGACAGCCTGTGGGTCTCACTTATAACCCCTCAGAGTCTAGAGCAGAAGCGGGTGCCTCCCACTGGAGCTTAGGGAAGGGTCATAGGTGAAGTCGGAGAGCAGAAGGGCAGTGCAAGGAAGGAGCCCCCATGGCCCCATGCAAACCACACACATGCGCACACCCTCCCCCCTGCCCCCCAAACACAACCACCGCACAAACTGTAAATGTGAGAATTTCCCCTGCAGTCAGCTTGAGAAGGAAAAGGTAACATTTTCCTGGCCTGGGCCCTGCATGGCTAATGGGAGGCTGGTTTGCAGGAATAACAGTGCTGGCCCTTCAGTGGCCCAGCCAGGCGAGCACAATAGCACTTTCATTCCGAAATTCCCGGTGGGCAGAGGGAGGGGGAGGGAGACCAGTGAGGGGCAGAGAGGCCCACACTGTTTGGGGCCACTCCTGCTACAAAGGGACAGCTGAAAAGTAGAAGGATGATAGGAGGTCCCCTTGGTCCGCTCAGGCCTATATGAGTCACTCACACCCTGCCCAGGTTCGGGGTCCCAGAGAATTTCCAGGGGTCCTGGAGGATTATGAATAAAAGCAGTGCTGTGTGCTCAGCCCTCACTATGGTGTCCTTAGGAGTCTGGAAAGGGGGTCCTGATGGGTGGGAGGGGGCTCTGCCCCAAGATCCCAACACTAGCTGACTAAGGACCCTTACAAAACAGCCAAGAAACTAGGGGGTGTGCAGAAAGTGCTGCACAGAAGTGAACAAGCTCGTTGGGAAATGAGACTGGGAGTCAGGACAACTTTGCAGTGACCAGGCCTCTGTAGGGAAGCTGGCAGTGGAGCAGGAGGGGACTGGAAGCCACAGTTTTCAGAGTTGATCAGACTAGGGATACTGTTATGGAGGGGATAAGGGTAGGGGATGGCCAGGGCCCCCATCACCCAAAAGACCTGGGCCCCAAAATGAGCATATGGAAGGGGGATATGGCAAAGGCTATACGCACCAGGACCAGCCAAAGTCAAAGCCAGCTAGGTCCCAGGATACAGTGAGGTGATGGGGAAAGAGACCAGGCACCAAGAGGCCTGAGCTGTAATCAGGGATCATCCACCAACTTACTATGTGACTGTGGCCAAGTCACCCTGTCCCAAATCTCAGTTTCCTCTCTATAAAGTGGTGAGGCTGAACCAAGTGACCTCTTCGCAACCCACAGAGCACCTGAACACTATAACCACTTGCCAAATAGATGCTAATCCCTGTAAGTAGCCCAAAACCCAACAATGCATAAGCCACCTGGAGAGTGCCTTCTAGGGCCCCATTCTCACATCCCACCTGAGCTACGGTGACCCAGGAGGAGCCATCCCAGAGTTTTCAGAGGAGATGGACGTGCCTCCCCTGCCCCTTGAGGAAGAGCCATACAGGACCACTGACAAGTCCTGTCTGTCCACTAGTTTACATTCCCTGCGCCCTCTAGTGATGGCCAGCTGAATCACACCTCCTCTGGCTTTGGAGCCCTGGAGGGCCCTGACAACCCAAGAAGACAGAGGACCCAGAGGGACCTGGGACTGAGCAAGGGACTCCAAGAAAGGGAGTCCACATTTGACCTAGATGTGGAAAGGGGTCCTGAGTAAGACCAGGAGCTCCCTGGTACCCTGCAGGCTCTGAGGTGGAGCCGCTGAAAAAAGAACTGAAGCCAGGTCCAGGGCTCTTGTCCAGACCAATCTCGGGCTTGCTAAGTGACAGCCAACAGGTTCCTGCTGCCCTGGGTCTTAGCTCTCCCACTGGTTTTATGAGGGGGCCATCCGGATGTTCCAAGGTCTTTTTCATACTCAGCTGTCCCGATTTTCCTTGGAGCCCCCTTGAGGTGGAGAAGTCACACAAAGGTGGGTGGCAGGCACCCCAGCCCTGGGCGGGCTTTGCTCAGAGGTCACCAAGTCCATGCCCCTCCTCCAGCCCAGCTGCTGCACAGGCATGGGGTCCTCCCAGGAACTGGGAAGACTCCAGGGTTTCATCCCTGGGTCTGTGCCCAGGGTGAACAACACAGCCACTTCCCAAAGCCAGAGCAGACCAGAAACCACCGCCCACCACAAAGGACGGGCGGAGGCGGAGGTGCCGCCAGGGCAGAGGGAGGCCTGGGCCCAGTTGGGGCGGGCTGGGTCTGAGGCTGCCGCCTGCTGGGGTCAAGACTCGGGCACACTGGGAAGGTGCCCAGGAGTGGCTCAATGTGAAGAGAGGAGGGTTCCGGCCCCCAGAGCCGACTGGCCTGACCACAGTCATCATCGGAGCCAGGCCTGCTTCGTTTCCCTCTGGGGCTTCCCTGGGAATTCCCAAAAATGAGCCAAGAATGCCGGACAAAGGTCACTGGGAACCAGCCCAGGTCCAGGCAGAGCTCTGCAGAGGGAGCTGCAGGTATGGACCACGCACCAGACTTGGCGTGGGGGGAGGGCACGGGCAGAGGGTCCCAGGAGACTTGGGAATGCTCATCCCTGTGTCCCTGTGGGAGCTGCGGGGACAGGGGCAGGAGGGAGGATGGGCTCCCACCTTAAGTCATATCCTTGGATAACCCTCAAACCTCGCCAGTGTCCCTAACAACACAATGAGTTCAAGAGCCCAAGTCCTTGCTCTCTCCCTCCCTCGGGAAGGGGAGCTAATTCCACAACAAGGGCCTGGGGCCCCACTGGAGCTTGATAAGGCTTCAATTCCCTGTAATTGTTCCTAGAAATGTCCTGACCATTCCCCTGCCGCCAGGTCTCTTCGCCCCTCCCGCTTCTCATCCAGTGCCCCTGGGAGGGGGATCTGTGAGACCCCACACCCCATCTGACCAGGTAACCTCTCTCTCATCTGCTGGCAGCTATAGATGCCTGGACAAACAGATGGGCAGATAAGAGCCGAAGAGGAAGCCCACTGCCCCAGCCAGTGACTCAGACTGGGAGGAATGGAAGCGGCTGCACAGGAGGGGTGGGGGCCCAGGCAAGCCACCTGGCCAAGCCACCAGAGCCAGGCCCATGGAGTGGAAAGAATAACAGAAGGCAGGCAGCCACCGAGGAAGCCATCAGTCCGCACAGGGGTGACGCCAAGGTGTGTACTTTATATCCAAGGAGGGGGACAAGAGAGGAGTCATCTCCCAGCTGCCTGCATTTCCACTGGGCTCAGACTTCACCCTGCACCCATCCCCATTCAGTACCTCTGGTTGGGAGGGGTGGGCCCAGACATCCCCCTCCCCAGCCTGCACATGTCCCTTCCCTGTGTCCATAGGAACAGAGTGCCTGTCCCCCATTGGACTCCAGCTCTGATGGTCTCACCCCACTGCCCTAATTCTTCAACACATACAACCAAGGTGGTGGGGGAGGGGAGGCAGCATTTGCAAGTACCTGCTGAGCCCCTAATCACAAAAGATGGCCCCTTGCTCTTCCTCCTTTCCAGCCACAACAAAATCCCCTTGAAAAGCTGAGACTCACAAGAAGGGCCTCCCAAGGTCACAGTGCAGGGCATGACTGGCCACACCCAGCAGGGACCCTGAAGCCCTGTGCCTCCCACCACTCCCAGACCCCATCTACCAGCACTGATGGGCTCTGAAATTAGGAATCTGAAAGGATCCTCTGCGATGGACCCAGTCTATTCTAAGGGTAAGGCCCATGCTAAGGTTGTTTTGGGTTGTTGTCAGCATTTCTAAAGAAGTTCCTTCTTTTAGGCCTGGGGAGCCCAGGATGGATAGGGAGACTGACACAGGGGGCTCAGTGCCAGAACAGACCCCAGCCAAGGCCACATTTGTCTTCCAAGGCTGGGAGAGTGAGCAGACACATCAATCTGCACCATAGCCTTGTACTCCCCGCCCCTGGAAGAAGGACATAATGAGGAAAAACAGGAGGAGGCTGCCCCCACGCCCAGCCCGCCCACCTGCCCACTGCCTGGCACAAGGGAATGCAGAGGGAGGCACCCTGGTGGCTGACCATGAGCTTCCTCCCCCACTGACCTTCAGAGGGATCCGCTCCTGCCACCCGCCCATTCAGCAGCCCTATGCACCGGTACCACTGGTGCTACAGTAACTTTTGGGTGAAGGACTTTGGCTGGCAGAATAAAGGCTCTGTGCCAACACTAGGCAACTAGGGCACAGCTCCCAGTAGCTCTGCCGCCTGTCAGTGCCACCCGCCTTTCCACATAATCAGGTTGGACCTTCTGTTGAGACATTTGGATGTGACTGTGCAACCAGAGACTGTGCATTGGTACAAAGGCCTCACAAAGCCAGGTGTGGGCTGGCCTCCCCCAGAATCCTGCCATCCCAGGCCCTCCTGCTGGGGAAACTCCTAGGTAAACCCAGCAGAAACCCCAGGACATACTGGGTTTGTGAGAAGAGTGAATTGTCCCTGAACCTGACCTCCACCTGCATTCCAGGACAAGACCCAAAGGCCAGGTCAGTGAGGGATGGTGGATGGGTAGGAAGTGCTTCTTGATCTCTGCCTCCAAAGCCTGTTCCCCCACCTCAGCTTCAGGCACAGAAGGCTCTGTCGGCAGGGGCCTGAGTAGAAGGGACAAGGAGACTACTTCTGAGGTCCCCAGTCCAGGGGCTTCATGGCTAAATGTATCTTCTGAGATGTTCTCCAAGACTCCTATGGGTACCTCAGGACCACTCTCTGGGGTGCATTGAAGCTGCTAATTTCTTGGTGCAAAGAGACCCAGCCCTGTCATCAGAGGAAAAGAGAAGATGCCCAATCCTGTTGTGTGGCACCCAAACCCCACCCCCGAACTCCTTCTCCATGTCTCTGACAACCTTCTCACCCCCACATGTCCAACTAGACCCCATTTACCCTTCCTGGGCAATACCCCTCCCTACATACTCCATCAGGGATACTCCTGACCCTGAGTTGGGGAGGGGTGCCAAAGGAGGATGGAGGAAATTTGAAGTCTTAGCTGCACAGGCCTGACTTCTGTGGATGATACCATTAGACTAGGTAAGACTTTCTGGAGTTTCTTCCTGGCAACCCTATCCCAGCTGGCCCCAGACCACCAGAGCAGCCAGGCCAAACACCTGGAGTGCAGTGATGGCAGTGAGGAGCCCCCTCCCTGCACATCTGGCCAGACCTCCCAGAGAAGGGGTGGGCCACCAGCCCCAGTGGAAACAGTGACGCTTCTAGATCCCTGCCAGCCTGGCCCCAGCACACCTGGGCCCCACTTCCTGCCCGTACATCTTAACCAGGCCAGGGTCCAGCCCAGCAACCCACTCTCCAGACAGGTCCCTAACTACTGCATGGGTTAGATATAGTAGTGTGAGTGGTATCCTGCAGCCCTACCCTGGCCATATGGTACTCTCCAGGCCTTGGGTCCCAAAGACTGGACAATCTTTCCAGGACAACATGGGTATTCAGAAAAGAAGTCCTCAGAGTACTCTTATCCTGTCTGTCAGAATCTCCTTCTTGAGGGCAAGGATCAAGTTTCCTGCTTCTCTGTACCTGACCCAAGGCTTTCTATGTGGTTCAGGAAACTCAGGATCATCGATCATGGAGATTTGGGGAAAGGATCCTTTTGTCTGGCTATGTTCTGCCACACTCCACATAGCAAACACACAACTAGTCCATTATGGCATTGTGGTTCTGAAGACTCAGATGAACTGGTTTCTAGTGATTCTCTAAGAAGCTAAGGGATCAAGTGCTCAGAAGAGGGAGAATTTGGATCCCTCAGCCATAGTCATCAGTTTCTGGCCCCACCTCCAGCCCAATTCCCAGTCTTCCTATCCTGTGTATTCCTCTGGCACTTCATCTATGCTGTCCTCTTTCTTGTCCCCTTGCCTACAAACGGACAAAGTAGGCCAAAACCTGGGGTCTTTCCAGGTATGCCTTCTCCACCTAGCACTGGAGGTTCAAAGCCAAGTCAGACAGATAGAGGTGGGACTCCAAGGCAACAGGGCCATCAGAAAGCCTTGCTGTAACCCCTGGGGTCTCACACTGGGTCCTGATCAAGCCTCCTCCTTCTTCCCAGTAACCTAGCCCCACCTCAGCTTCCAGCAGCCCCAAATGGGCAGGACTGAGCAGGACTACTTGTGTTGCAGACCTTGCCCTGCTATTTCTTTGCTGCTTGACCTGGTTCACCTCCTGCTCTACCTAAGTCTCAGGGTCCCACTTTGCATCAAACCCCTACAAAGAGGAAATGAAGCAGACTTATATCTCAGACTTATTCCTGAGTCTCAGCTCTCTCCTCATTCTCTGGAATGGGCTTTTAGTGGAGACTCAGAAACTAAGGAGGAAAAAAAAATCACTGTCCACATTTGAAAAACCTGCATTTCTAAGCCTATAGCCCCCTTCCCCTCCCCAACACTCTCCAGAACACCTCAGAGCCCCCCTCCCAGAACCTCCCCACATTTGTCCCCAAGCTTCAGTTAACTGCTTCCAGCTCTGAGTAAAGCAGATGGGAGAGAGATGCCTTTGGGAGCCCCTTTCCAGATTCTGAAATACACGCTTTACCGGGGGACTCTTGGGGTTACATGCACACCAGACTCCTCCGCTGGATTTTTCCTTCGGTTGTCTGCCACGGAGAATTACTCTTCACAGGCGGTTCAGAGAACATCAAATACTATGGGCTGTGTCTGCGAGTACAGCACAATTGCCCACATTCAGCGAGACCACCTCGCACACAGGCTGCTGGCGGTGGGGGTTGCCCCTCCCCTCTCCCGCGCTCCCCCACTCCTTCGGGAATGAGAGGCCGCCTCTTCCTTTCCTTTAGGTTCCAAACTTGGGTGATTCCTCTGACCCAATGGAAAAAACGGAGTGGGGGAGCCATGCAGCCTCCCTTTTGGCGGCTTCAAGCCGCAGGCCGGCGCCCCGCCCGCCCGCCGGCTCAGCTTACGGGTTACTGCAGTTCAAATAGCACGTGCCGCCCGCGCTCAGAGCCGCAGCCGCTGCGGTGGCCGCGCAGCTCTGGGAGGGGGCGGGGAGGCTTGCTCAGTGAGCGCTGGCTCTCCTCCTCTGCGCCTCTTTCAGTCGTTCGGGAAATCCACAGGATAAACACCCACTTTCTCTTCCTCTTTAAACTGGGAGTAGGGGCACTTTGATCCTCAGCCCGCTCCCAGGCTATTCTCCCACCCCTCTCCTTTCCCCTACGGTTAAAGGTGCGCTCAGGGGCCCAAAGCTCACAGTACCTCTCCCTGGCAAGGCCCGCTAACCGCTGCCCACATGTTGTCCCCAGCTCCCCCTGCACATCACACGCTTGCATCGACCTCAAGGCTACCTGTGGCTGGAGGGCCAGGTTTGATTTTTAGAATGATCAGTCCTTGCAATTCTCGGAGGAAAAGCGGAGAAAAGGAAAGCGCAGGCCAACTGTCCCGCCCCGCCCCCTTCTTTTTCTAGTTCTGTGGAGCACTGCTAGGATAGGCATTGGACTCCCTGATCTCAAACGTTCAAAGTTTGTCCAAACTGCCCTCAAACAAGCCCCCGTGGGCCTGGTGGTGCCCGCCGCGCAGTAGGCCAGCAAGAGAGTGGACCAGAAGAAGGCCTCCATAGGCCCTGGATTCAGGCTGAAAGCCGTCTAGGGAGAGAACTGCGGAGTCCTGAAGCATCATGCACAAAAGAAAGTGCAGATTTGAGTTGGGATGCTCCTAGGCTGGCTCCGTGAACTCCTGAGATGTAGACGAAAAGAATCAGAGCTCTTACCTTGCGCTTGTTGCGGTGAATGTCGCCAATGGAGTTGGCCACCGTGTTAGGGCCCAGCAGCATACGCGTGCTGCGCGGCCACTCGGTGCTCACGAGGTGGTGCTCTCCCATGAGGATCTTGCGTACGTTCTCTGCACCGGTCACCCGGATCAGCGGGCGCCCCAGCAAGTGTGTCTTGAACACGTTTCCATACTTCTCCCTTCGGGATGACTGGAAGCCCGAGCCCTGTGGGAGCCACACAAGAGACCTCTCTCAGGGCTCACAGGTCTGCGAGGCCGGCCAGGGCAGCTGATCCCACTCCCCCCAACTCCCCCATCCCCAACCCCCCAACTCTCCCAACCCCCCCCACCCCATACACACACACAGACACGCACGCAGGTTTTATTTTTCATAGCGTGCACAGAACTGGGAAGTAGGGCCTAGAGTATAATAAATAATGCGAGGAGGCGGGAGGCCCAGGAGCACCCCCGGGACGCTGTTTTTTAGTAATGACTTTAGGGAGGGAAAAGGTATCCCGGATGGCTGGACCTGAAGCTAAAGCCTCCGCCCCCCACTCCTCAATCCTCCGCCCCACCACCACCCCCGCCACTCCGCGCTCGGGAGCCTCTCGGAATAAATATTTCCAGGCTCCGGGCCACGAGCTGGCGAGACCCCGCGGGGTGGCCGCAGGCCAAAGATTATTTATAGCGGTGAGCGGTCGGTGCCCGGAGGCAGTCACTAGAGACTGGGATTGGAGTTTCCGCTGTTCTCCGGTGTGGCCCGCGCAGGGACCCTGCAGCCCTCCGCGGGCTCTTCAGGGTGGAGTTATGGGCCGTGAGCCGCGATTTTCCTAAAGCATTTTGCCCTGGAAATAACTGAGACGGACTTTCGTCGCCGCCCTGGAGTTTGGAAAGGGAGAGCGGCGGAAGGCGCTTCCCGCTGGGCGGGGTGGGACCGGGCGGGGCGACCCGGGCAGGTAACCGGATCCCGACGGCGGCGGCTGTGGCGCGAGCCGAGGATTGCGGGGCCCCGGTCCGGGACCAGCGCTCGAAAGAGCTGGCGGAGCCCGCCGCGCGCGGGTACCGGAAACCTAGGGGACCTCACAGGGGCGGGGGCAGGGGCGTCTCGCTCACCTTTGACGTCGGCGCTAGCCACCACAGCCCAAATTAACCCTTCTCCTGCCTGGGCAGCTCCGGGTGAAAAGGGGAGGGGCGCTACCTGTCCAGCCTCTCCTCCAGCCCGCTAACAGACTTATAGACCTACCGGCTCATTCTTCCCCGACGGGACAACTTGGCTACCCCTTTCCCGGGTTGGTCCCCCTCCTCATTTTCCTTCCTTCCAAAGAAAGCTATTCTCCAGCTAGACGTGTACACACGTTAGCGCAGCGAAAAGTGACTCTGCAGAACTCGGATCCCTAATCACTTTTCCACATGCGCCTCCAGCCCCAGCGCGCGACAGGGAGCTAGTCGGCAGCTCCTGAGCTGCCAAGAAGGGGGCCCGGCCGCGGGGGACGCTGTCCTGCTCCCAGGCTGGAGGGTCGAGAGAACCAACCCCCAACACACACACACACACACACACACACACACACCCCGTGACGCCTTTGTAGACGGCCTCTACCCCTTTAAGAAAAATCAAGGCGGAGGTAGGGTGCGACAGAGGAGGGGATGAAGAGCGGGGTTCCCTTCCTCCGTCTGCTATTCCGAATCCCTTGCTCGGTCTGACTCTCCGTCTCTCCTTCTTCTATTTTTCTTTTCTTTTGACACAAAAGTTGGGCTGTGAATATTTCGAGGTCGCCCGCCGCCTCGCCCCCACCCCCCGCCTCTGATCTGCCTAACTATAATTAAAGTGCGTTTTTTTGTGGCATTAATAAAGAGTTATTTGTCCGCCGTTTCCACGGTCTTCACAAAGAGGACTTTCATAGGGGCGGCCGCTCGGGCCGCGAGTCCAATTTATACAAAAATGTTGTATTTTTAGCCCTGGGCTCTGTTTAGATGGCGCTCGGTGGAAAAGGAGAGCCCTTGGAGGTCCCCCCGTAAAATCTGATAAATGACTCCGAAAAAACGCTGGGATTCAGAGGGCTCCCATTAACCCCTTCAGCACCTCCCAACACGCACCCCTTTATTCCTCACCCCACGGGATCTAGGGCCCTGGGACGCATGGATGGTGAGGCGCAGGTCCTTCTCCCCAACTCTGTGCGGGTTGGACGCATATCCCAAGGGCCTTTGTAGGATTCAGGGGGGAAAAAAGGTCAAGGGGACACCACGCCCGGGGTGGTTGGGGGGGGGTCAGTAAACGAGATGGAGGAGGGACAGCAACATACGGCTGATTCCACAAATTGGATCTAACAAGGAGGAAGCCATTGCCCAAGTGAATTATTTTATTTTCTAAATTCTCGGCCAAAAGCCTAGACCACCGCCGCAGTTAACCCTTTAAGTGTGGTCCTAAGGGGGAAGTTCTGGGGATTTCTTATGGGAGACAATCTGATTGGCTCAAGTGAACCCCACCCCATTGGACGGACATTCCTCCCCCAAATAAGAGTGGGACCAACTTTGCGATATCCAGAGACCACAGGGTAAAGGAACCTCTCCCCCGCCTGTCTCCACTAACGCTCTGCTGTCACTTGGTTCAGAGCGTGCAGAGTGTGTATATATATATGTGTGTGCGCGCGCGCGTGCGAAAATTACACGCGTCTGTTAATGTCAAGCCAAGCTTTCGCACGTCTAAACCTACAGGTCCCCGCGCTCACCTTCAGCTTCATCTTCCCTGCGCCAGGGTTGTCTGTTTCAGGATTCCAGGATTCCCCTAAGGCCCATTAGCACCCAGTGGACAAACATGGGTACATACGTATACTCAAACACCCCTCCAGCGGATATCTCAGAGGTGTACCCCCGCCCCTCCCCCCCAAAAAAAACCCTGGTGTGTATCAAATTGCAAAACCGATTGTCTGGCATTTGACAAGGTTAACTCCAGGTTAATCTCTCCATTACCTACCTGGGTCTGGTCTTCGACGCTCCCCACCCCAATTATCACCACCAGAGCGGGGACTGTGTAGCCTCTAAGAGCAAACTCTCCCACTCACTTCTCCCAAGTTTCTTTCTCCTGCTGAACTGTCCACACCCAATAAGTAAATAGACCCTTTTCCCCGAAAGTCGAGAGCCCTTGAGACTCTAGCCTCTCATTTTTCTTGGGTTACCTTCTTCTTCTCCCACCACAAAACACACACAGTAGCGAGGACCAAGAACTACCTGGCTAAGCGGCAGGAACACAGCCCGGGTCTAAGAGGGCAATTCAAGATGCTATGTTCCCCTCCTCCTCTCTGGACTCAAGTTTTTGGTTCCCAGCTACACTGTTAACACCCAGAACGGCTGACGCCGACCGGGACCTGGAGCGCAATGAAGAGGCGAAAGCGGCTCACGTCTGTCTGGACGCCCCTTCGAACGCGCGCTGAGCGCGGAGTCTCCAGGCCTCTCCACGCGCCCCTGCTCGGTCGCCAGCAACAGAGGCAGGTCGGTCCTGGGAGCCACGTCGGGTCCTGGAACCCTTTTTATCAGTCCTCCGAACCAGCGCACCGGGCGCCAAAGGTCTCGGAGCCACGCCGCTGGCGGGCAGGGAAAACCCGGGAGGCTCAGGCTGAGAGAAGGGAAGGGGCGGGGCGGAGACCTGTGCCTTCAAACTCCCGTTCCCCGTGGCCTGCCCGCGGCTAGGTCGGTCCCGCGCTCGCAGCAAGCGGACCCCGTAGAGCAGCAGAGCGAGTGCGCCCTTACCTGTAACAGCCAGTGGCCGGTCTCTCCGATGAGCGGGAAGCCCATGGAGCCCTTGGGGATGGGCAGCTTGCAGCTCTTGTCGCGGGTAGCAGCCCAGCGCAGCTGCCACAGCTGCTGCGACACGGCCAGCAGCAGCGTCACGGACACCAGGCACGCGGCGAGGGTGGCCAGCGCCGACACCAGCTCCAAGCCCTCAAAGAGCATGTTGGCGGCCGCTCGGGGGATTGGCTGTGCCGGCCGCGACGGGGGAGGGGAGGGCCTGACCAGAGCGGCGGGGGAGGGGAGGCTGCGGCCGGGGGTCCTGGCACCTCCAGCCGAAACAGAGACAGAGGGAAGGGGAGTGGAGGCTGCAAGGGGAGCGGAGAGAGGTGGGGTGGGGGGGAAGATTGCCTAAAAGAAGAGAGGAGACACGAGGCGACTCGGGGTGTAACTTTGTTTGTTTGTTTGTTTGTTTGTTCCTTTACAGCGGGCTTAGGGGCTGCTCAAGGGGTGGTGAGATGAAGCCGTGAGTCAAGCTGGTGGATTTGATCTCTCCGCAACCATCACACTCGGAAAACTTTGGAAAACTTTATCCAGCGGGAGCCTCTCTTAAGCCCCTTCCCCTGCTCGGGAAAAAAAAAGAAGAAGAAGGGGAACAGAGAGCTAGCGGAAATGCGATCGATTTGTCAAAAGTATTCAAAAAATTCCTAGGTGAAAAGAAAAAATTCTGAATTCAAAAATTCCAACGAACCCAGAAACTCTGGGGTCGAGGGAGAAAGCTCCCCAGCTGAGGCGAGTGGAGAGGCCGGAGCCCAGCGTCCCTGGGCTGCCTCGGCGACGCGCCGGAGCCCGGGAACCGCCGCGGCACCCCGAGGCGGGCGCAGAGGGCGAAGCAGCGAGGCGGGCGCAGCGGCCCGAGCGCGGGTGCGGAGCCGGCGAGCCGCAGCCGGGACGGGCCGCAGCCGGCGACAGAGCCCCGGGCGGGCGCTGGGGCGGCGGCGACGGCTGGCGGGCGGGAGGGGTGAGGCGGGGTGGGGTTGGGGGAGGAGGTGGAAAACCCGAGCTGGGCTATTGTATCAATTAAGAAAAGGCAGTCCGTCCGGGGACGAAGTCTCTCGGCTCTGGAGTTGCTGCTGAGGGAAGAAAGGGGGAAAAAAGAAAGGAAGGCAAAAGGAATGAAAGAGGAGGGAAAGCAGAAAGCAGGATTTCAGGGCTGATGGTTTTAAAAGCGTCTCTCAATGTGAATTTGAGGCCAAAGCGAGGCGATGCGTGTGTTTATATAGAGGCGGGAGGCTGCGCCCGCCGTGGGCACTCCGCCAGCACCCCCCCTCCCGCGCGCTCACAAAGCCGGAGGCGTGGTGAGAGGCCGGGCCCGCGGCCGGAGCGTGTGAGCGCCCGCCGGCCTCCCGCCCCGCCCCGCAGCCCGCCGCCAGCCGCCCGCCGCCCGCCGTCCGCGCAGGACCCACTTGTAGCAGCCGCAGGATCAAACTCAGTTCACCTCTCGCCTTCTCTTCCTTCTCGCAGCGTTTCGCTTAGCCGGGCACCTACAGACGGACGAGATGAGACACGCGCGCGCGCGCGCACACACTCACACGCACACATACACACACACACTCACGGTGCGCACTCACTTAGTGCCCGCTTGGCTGCTAGGCTACTTCCCTCCCACTTTTCCTCCCTCCCGGGTCCCCGGCCCCCTCCTGCTTCAGGCAGTAGTCCCGCGTGCGCCGTAGCCCCAGCACCGGAGGTCCCGGCCAGGTTACCCTTCGACTGGAGGGCGCCAGAAGTCCCAGAACCCGTGTCCAGGGTCCCACGCTCCTCTCCTGCGGGACCTCCCCGGCTCCTGCTTCCTAGGACCCCTGACTTGGCACTCTTAATTGTCTCCAGCCCGGGACCCCATGCCTGATCCCTACATCCCCAAACCTCAGATGCCAAGGTCCCCCTTCCCTCAGAAGTCTATTATACTACAGAATTTGAAGGTTTCCTTGACCCCTTGAGCGTTCAGGTATCCTGACGCTGCAGCCCTTCCCTCCAACACCTCCGAGCTACATACATACACACACACACACACACACACACACACCCATACACACACACCCATACACACACTTCGTGGTTCCTTCCACTGCTGGCAGCATCAGAGGAACCCCAATGCTGATCCCAATGAGTGTCTCTTGCCAGGGACAAATAAAGCGGCCCGGCACCAGGAGGCGGGAGGAGTTCGGTACCGACATTCAGTGATATAAATAAGTAAATAAACAAGCCGGGTGAGCGCGGCCACCTTCTCAGCTCCAGCCGCAGAGGGCCTGGTGCGCGTGCCTGTGTGAGGTGTGCGTGTGGCCCGTGGCCGCACCTGTGTGTGCGGGCGACTGTGTCCACCCTGGGTCGGCCCCACGTCGGTGGAGCAATGTGGTGTGTGTGCAGGTTTGTTCTCTCTGGTACTGTATGTTTGTCTCTGCCTCCATCCATCTATCCGTCAGCTGGCCTCTCCTCCTGAGAGCCTACGATGGAACTCTGCACACCAATCCCGACATCTGGCTAGTGACTGACTCTCCCTCTCGCGCGCGTCCTGTTTCCCTTAGCCCCTGTGTCTCTGTTGTTCACTCCCAGAGAAAGACTAGACATCCCACCTTTAGTTTAGGGTACTGTGCATGTAAACCAATTAGCCTCCCTTTTTAACACCTCTTCTGCACCCAGGACTTATTCTTCTTTAGAATTCCCTAGGAAAGAATGTGCATGAGCGTCTAAAATGAGCGCAAATGTGTTGTCCCTCCCAGAGTGAGCGCTTCAGAGGTTGATGCTGCCAGAAGAGATCCTGGAGCAGGGCTCTTGCTACAAGCGCTGGGTCAACTCGGCTCTCACTCTCTGCCCTGGAACCCCACCTGGTGGACAGTTACAGTACTACAGATTCAGAGGAAGCAATTCCCGCTTCCCCTTTCCTGAACTGCCTTTCCTTGGGAGAGATCAGCTCCCACGGACCTGTGTGTAGGCTCCAAAAGAGCTCCCGCCTCAGTGTCCTCAGACTGCTTTCCCCACCCCTAGGCCGTTAGGGGCCCGGACACTCACAAAGTCCTTGTCAGCATCACTGTGGCCCCAGAGACAGAGAGCTAGAGAGCTAGGGCTAGAGAGCTAGAGAAGGTTCTAGCTAATTGACCTAATTGAAACCATCGTTCTGCTCAAATCCCAAGGAGTACTCACTTAGGAAAAAAGAAAAGAAAAGCCCTGGTACCCCAATTCTGTAAGGCTTCCTGGAGGCATGTAGAGAGTGCCAGGATTGTGGAATAGGCTCAAGAGGGTGACTAGGTCAGAGCAAGGCCAGCCACCATCTTTGCCAGTGCGATCTCATCGAAGAATATTCTCTCATCAGCCTCAGGTGGACTTCTGATATGCCCTGATCCAGTCCTCAGTCTGATCCAAACCCTGCCCTGAACCTAAAACAGACCCCCTGAGCCAAATCCTAGACTGACCCTTAATCAGGGCAACCCAGATGTAATGAAGCCAGATTCAACAGTTCTGTCCCATTTCCTGTCATAGAAAGAAGCTGGGATAAAATGGAGCTGAGGGAGATTGTTGAAGTCCTGCCCTCTGGAAGAACCTTAAGCATCCAGATTCCTGGCACTAGCCTGAGGTGGTGAGATGGGCAAGATGACCCTGGGGAACTCTCAGTGGAGATAGCCATCTCCAAACAGCTGGACCTGAACACAGCCCTACAGAGAGATACAAACATGCACAGGCAGATATGGAGCACACACAAAGGCACATACACACACAGGATCCTTGTCCACCGAGCCACAAAACACCTACTTCCCTGCCACCAACCCAAGAGTCCATAAGAGGTGTCCACTTTGCCAGGATCAAAGTCCCACAAGTCGCACCCGCCCATGGCCTCCCTCCATTCCCTTACTCCCATCCAGACTTGTTTACAGACTCTAACAACTCCCAGGATTGGCTTTTGTGAACTTTCTTTTGCCATCCATCATCTGGCCTCTCTTCCTGTTCAGGTATGGAGAAGGAGTTGGGAGGGGGCATGGGGTATCATTTTTGAGTCTTTCTTTTGCGCAACTGCCAATTGGGGTCCTAGGGAATATCCACAGGGACTTGCAGCCCCCAGCAATAGTTGCTGCATGACCTAATTGAAACCATCGTTCTGCTCAAATCCCAAGGAGTACTCACTTAGGAAAAAAGAAAAGGAAAGCCCTGGTACCCCAATTCTGTAAGGCTTCCTGGAGGCATGTAGAGAGTGCCAGGATTTTGGAGTAGGCTCAAGAGGGTGACTAGGTCAGAGCAAGGCCAGCCACCATCTTTGCCAGTTCCATCTCATTGAAGAATATTCTTTCATCAGCCTCAGGTGGACTTCTGATATGCCCTGATCCAGTCCTCAGTCTGATCCAAACCCTGCCCTGAACCTAAAACAGACCCCTTGAGCCAAATCCTAGACTGACCCTTAATCCTCATCACAGATTGACCCTGTCCTTAACTCCAGACCAAATCCCAGTACTAACAAGTCCACTCAGGCACACCCGTGGTCCTAGAGTATACCCAGTCCCTCATGGACTATCCTGAACTGGGGTTTAGCTCAATCCATGGGGCTCTGGGAGAAGGAATGGGCTCTAGTTCAGATTTTTTTTTCTTTTATTTTGGCCTCAGAATGAGCTGCCTGCTCTCCAGAAAGCATCCCTCTCCCCCTGGCCAGCATAGCTAATATCACAGGAACTCATTTTCACCCCCACCCCATAGCCTTTCAATGGCCCAGGGCACACTCCGGGGCTTCAGCTATTGCCCGCAGTGCTATGAAGCCTTGGGTCAGCGCTCAACTCCCTAGCGTCCCTGTAGCCCTTCAGGCACTCTGAAGTCAGAGCAGACTAGGAGATCAGTCAGGAGTGCTGCTTCAAGTCTGGATAAAATTTGTAAAGCTTGGCAGAAGGGACTGGGAGGATGTGGAGGACGGGCCTCGACACCCTTGGAATATGCAGATAATGAGCAGAGCACTCCACACAGGAGCAAGTCTGCTTGAATTCCCACTTCTCACTGTGGCACAAAGCTGCCCAGCGGTGCTATTTGTCCTAGACCTTCTATGCTCAAAGGAACAAAGCCCTTGCCCCATCCAAGTCCCTTGTGCAGTCATGTGCAGTCATATAGCCAACAAACCTCTTCCACAGTTATTATTTAATGTCATCTCCACCCAGCACATCAGATTTCCATATTACTTCCTGCATTGATGAAAA